CTGAAGTCCATCTTTTGAATTTTTAAAAATTTCAAAGTATTATTATGAGTTTTTTTAATGTAATAAAGAATTTGTCTTTTTTGTAACAATATTTGAAATTTTTCTGATAAACGCAGAGAGAAGTCAATTGGTACTTACCATATTGAGAAAGTAGCAAGATACAAATTTAAAGTGGAAAGGGGGTAATTACAAACTAAATAATATGTCTAGTGAAAAATAAACGGAGAATGTGTCTATGGGCCACAGATGCCCCTGCTTGTAAATATGTATAAGTCAACTTCCACATACAGATGCAGGATTCACATAGTTAAGACCGATTTGTGATTATAAGCATTGTGTATAAGTTTCCTAACATTTGGTTGAGGCAAACTAAAGTTAGAGAACAGAAACAACAGATTTAGCAATTTTTCCATTTATAAAGGGGCATAACTCAAGAACAGTAAAAGTGGTGCCACTAAATTTCAAACTTGATCTGTGTTTTGTTTTAATAAGCATTGTGTATATGTTTCATAACATTTGGTTGAGGCAAATTAAATTTAGAGAATGGAAATGAAAAATTCAGCATTTTTTATGTTTATTAAGGGGCATAACTCACGAACGGTAAAAGTGATGCCACCCAATTTCGAGCTTGATCTTTGTTTTGTGGTAATAAGCATTGTGTATAAGATTTATAACATTTGGTTAAGGCAAACTAAAATTAGAGCACGGAAACCAATTTTTGGGACGTACGGACGGACGGAACAAGAGTAACACTTAATGGCCCCTCCGCTACGGCATAATAAAAATTGATATTATAAATACAAAAAGAAATAATGAACAGCACACAGAAAAACAACTTAATTAGAGTGACACAAATCCCATATAAATTCAGGGAGAACAAGGCCAAACAGTAGTGTATTTAGCTGGTGAATTCCAGACTCAACACTGACCCCTATCATATAGAGGAATTCAACTTTGAGTTGGATTTTATATCTATAGATCACCAGTCAGCAGGAAAATATATCATCTTGAATCAGTGCTGAACATTTTTTCTCTTACTAAAAAATGTAGCATGCTTAGCAGACTCTGAGGCTAAACAACTACAAATTTTGAAGTCTTTGGTTAGACCCTACTTGGAATGAAATCGACAATTTCTCACGCTCTATGCGATTTTACTACCATGAGACCATCAAGGGGGGTTGGTTGAAAAGAGATTTGGGGGTATGAAGTCAATCAGAAAGGAACCCAACATTTTTAAAACTAAAAGAAAAAACTTGGTCAACCATAATACACATAAATATGCTTCCCTATCCTTATAACTGTAAAATTTTGATTTGTAATACAATGCATTAAAAAAAAAATGACATCAAATTTGAAATAATGCCTATTCTGGCCCTGCTGTTTCATGCATTCATACTCTGGTGGAAAGTTGTCTCATTGGCAAACATACCATTTCTCCTTATTTTTATACACATGTATAATCCACTTATTTTCCACTTTGATGGTTATATATATAATTAAGAGTCATCTAATTGAGATTATCTGAACATCAACTTGTCTAGACCGAAAATTACATCTTTGCATCAAATATAATTATTTTAATATTTAAAATTCTTCAAAGGATGATATGTCTATTAACATATAATGTAGAACAAGTACTCTCAGATCTGTACTTTGTGTGTTTTGTCGTTACCCTGTATATCAGCTCGGGTTTTTTTTGTGCTCTGTGCCCATTTGACAATTCAGGCCATTTCAGCTGATTTTATAAGTGCCTGTCCTAAGTCAGGAGCCTGTAACTCAGAAGTTGTCATTGTTTGCTGTCTGTCTTGATAATTTGATTTTCGTTTCTTGTTTAACAAAGCTGTTACTTTTTTCGTTTGCATTGTTTCACATGTCATGTCGGGCCTTTTATAGCTGATTATATATATATGGTATGCATTTGAATTGTTTCACATTTTGTCATGATGGAGCTTTTATAGCTGACTATATATGCTTAAATTGTTTCACATTTTGTCATGTCGGGCCTTTAATAGCTGACTAAATATGTTTGAATTGTTTCACATTTTGTCATGTAAGACCTTTTATAGCTGACTATACATGTTTGAATTGTTTCACATTTCGTAAAGTCAGGCCTTTTATAGCTAACTATATATGGTATGTGTTTTGCTTATTGATGAAAGCCATCAGTTGACCAATAATTTTTTTAAACTGCTTGATGTTGGATAGTTGTCTCTCATTGGCAATCATACCACATCTAGATCTGCTTGTTTTATACAAAGTCTCAAATGATTAAATAGATGTGTGAGGTATAAATCTATTTTATACAAAGTCTCAAATGAATAAATAGATGTGTGGGGTATAAATCTATTTTATATAAAGTCTCAAATGAATAAATAAATGTGTGGGGTATAAATCTATTTTATATAAAGTCTCAAATGAATAAATAAATGTATGGGGTATAAATCTATTTTATATAAAGTCTCAAATGAAAAAAATAAATGTGTGGGGTATAAATCTATTTTATATAAAGTCTCAAATGATTAAATAGATGTGTGGCAGTGGCAGATCCATGGGGGGTTTCGGGGTTGGACGATCAATGCATTTGAATGGGGACATATAGTTGGAACCCCCCTTTATCCTGGGTTGGGAACCCCCCCCCCTTTTAAAAATGGCTGGATCCGCCCCTGTGTGGGGTATAAATCAAAGGGACAGCATCCCAATGATTATAATTAATAGTCATGATATTGTCTGCCGGTAAATACAATATATGAATGATATAATTATTTATGTCTGTGTATGGTCAAATTCTTATCCACCAAAATTGACTCATACTATATATTTTATTCATAACATACATGTATAACAACATGTATATATAAGAACTTAAAAAGTCAAGATGAACAATAAAGTACAACGCATGGAATTGTAAAAAAATATTAATATTTCAGTAATGCGTGCCATTTAATTAACCATTGTCATGACCTCCGAAGATTGCAGATGGGCATGATGTACATGTGGTCTCAATAATTATAGACAGATATATAATATATACATGTATAAATAGTATGTGCAATAGTATAATGAGGATTTTCCCCATTTTATTTCATACCATAAATCTAAAAAAAAAAATAATGTACATCATCTCTTTCCTTGTAACCTACATAGAATTATTTTATTGTGTTAGGAAATCAGTCTTTGTGTTTATTGTAGGTCACAAGCAGATGGATCCAAATGAGGTCAAATTATTGTTTTGTACAAACAATGATGATCAGCTAAGTTTTTGGCTTATTTTGACAATATAAAACCAAATTGACTGAGTTAATAACACATTATTATTCAATAATCAGTATACATACATGTAAATGTTTGAAAGTCAGAAACACATAAAATTCATACTTTTTTCTTTTCAACTTACACCGTCGAAAATATAGCTAAAGCCTTTTTAAAACTGTTAATAAATTCTGATTCTCTTACATATCTATAATGATTCTTCTAAAAAAGCCGCTCTGATACATATGAAAAGATTTCCCTGATTCAAACTGTCAAACCATCAATAGAATGCATAAATGGAGCGTATAACTTATTATTTTCCATAAATCTAATATGCCAATAATTATCACAATTTACACTCAGTTTATCTACATAAACACATCATCATTTCAAATGATTGAACAAAATTATATTTAATAATGTGATAATGAAAGATAATACCCTACCTTGTATTCTTAATGAAGTGAAAATAATGGTATAAAACAGTTATTTATGATAGCTACTCCAACTGTGAATGTATTGAATAGACAGTATTTTATGTCCAGTAACTCTGGATCTGCAGTCAATTGTCAAAAGAATGTAGATGTACTATGAGACAGGGTAATGGATTTGCCAAACTGCTTATATCTATAGTATCATTCAACCACTCTTTAAAGATTGGACAAATCTTATAACACAGACAGCAAGAATGTTTGTTATTGAGAACAAATGTATTAGAAAAACAAAACATCTAATGGATCCTGCTTATCTCATACTGAGTATCTACAAATAAAATTAACAAAACAAAATTCTACCCTCCTCTTATCTTCCAGAAATATATTCCTCGGTCAATGTAAATAGTTACATTATTGACCAACCATCACAGCAAAAGCCAAAAAGTAAGGTAAACACTATTTTAAATATCAATTTTCTCTTAAAAACAAACTGCCAACAAACCTTTATCATTTTAAACCATTCATACATGTATATAGAACTTCACAAAAAAATCATGGAATCTAGAAGTGTCCATAATATAAGAGGAAGGAACACCATAAATTAAAACAAAATATATAGTTTCTTTCCTATGTGCCATTTAAACACCATACAACATGTGCAATCATTTCAATTTACTAGAAAACCTGGTAAAACTAAATTACAGACATGTAAATAATGAAATACAGTGATAAATTACCAACCTGAAAATACTCAAATACTGTGACTAATTACCGACATGTAAATGCTGAAATACAGTGATAAATTACCGACCTGAAAATACTCAAATACATGTACAGTGACAAATTACCAACATGTAAATACTCAAATAAATTACCGACATGCATGTAAATACTCAAATACTGTGATAAATTACCGACCTGAAAATACTCAAATACTGTGACTTATTACCGACATGTAAATACTGAAATACAGTGATAAATTACCAACATGTAAATACTCAAACACTGTGATAAATTACCGACCTGAAAATACTCAAATACAGTGATAAATTACCAACATGTAAATACTCGAATACTGTGATAAATTACAGACATGTAAATACTCAAAAACAGTAATAAATTACCGACATGTAAATATTCAAATACTGAGATAAATTACCAACATGTAAATACTCAAATACTGTGATAACTTACCGACCTGAAAATACTCAAATACTGTGATAAATTACCAACATGTAAATACTCAAATACATATAAATTAGATAAACTGTCATATGCAGAAAAAAAAAACTATTTAAATTATAAAATAAATCTTACAGTTTCATGTATCCTCTGTCTTCAACACATGTAATATACAATATAGTTCCTGCCTATCCTGCACCTTAATCTGGATTCCAATAAATAATTGTCACCAATTATGTAAAATAACTGTGTCATTCTTCCACCTTATCACATCTTGTGTATTCTAAGATTTACATCAGTGATCACCTGTACAAAGTAAATCAATACATGATCCAGAAATATATATATAATAAATAATATGTTACAGTCATTACAACTATCAAATCTTCAAATTTCATTCAGTCTTCACGATGACCTTTAAAATCTACAGGCCCGGAGCTCAATTGTGAAAAATTTAGTAAGATTCTGTTGGCCTGTAGATATGATTTTTACAGGCCCGAGAGCAATTTAACAAGCCTGGGCTGCTGGGCCTGTGGTTCAGCGTGAAGACTGTTCATTAGAATTACCTGCAATATCAAATTCTTACCATCTGAAATTATTAGTCAGTAGCAGTAATCATGTTTCAACATATAACTATTCGGTAAATCACTTCTTTCTGGTTCTTAATTAAGGCTATCATTCAACAATCAAAAGATTTTAAGAACAAGTCTGAAACTGGTCACAAAAAATAATTTCTGTTAGTGTCTATGAGCCAATGTTTTTAGATATGAAATCATTATATCAAAGGAGATGTGGGATATATGTCAATGTGACAGCAATCCAACAAATAAACTGTTGACACAGAGATATGTCTCACCTGTTGGCATACATTTCAGAAAAACACAATCTGATGGACTGGAAATAGTCGTTCAACTGATATGTACTGATAGTAATGCAAATTTATACAAAATATCAATGATCTATCAATTTGACTTGAGCAGAAAACTTAACATTGAAAATTGCTAATTTATTCAAAGTCACTGGACCATGACCTAGGGCAGTAGGGGTCAGGGCCTCGAAATAGTTGTCAAACTGATATGTACCAATAGTAATGCTACTTTATATTAAATATCATTGATCAATCACAAATAGTTCCTATCAAACTAACTTAGAGAAAACTTAACAATTGTTGACGCCTTTGTCGCTGGACAAGCAATACATATGTTTTGCTTTCTGCGACAAAAGCAGGCAAGACAAAAATAAAAAGAAGAATATTAATGTGCCCATGGGACACAGATGCCCACACTTGTAATTATATGGCAAATTCAGCAAATTTTCCATTTATAAAGGGACATAACTCGAGAAAATGTAAGCAATACCACCTAAATTCATATTTAATCTGTGTTTGGTGGTAATACACACTGTGTATAAGTTTCATAACATTTGGTGGAGGCAAACTAAAATAAGCTTGAGGAAACAGCAAATTTAGCAAATTTTCCATTTATGAAGGGACATAACTCAAGAACTAAGAAAGTGACGGCCCTTACTTCAATCTCAATCTGTATTTGGTTGTAATAAGAGTTGTGTATAAGTTTCATTTGGTAGAGGCAACGTAAAGTTAGATTGCTGAAACAGCAAGACATATAACTTGAAAACGGTGGAAATAATGCCCCCCCCCCCTCCACTATATTTGAACTTAATCTGTGTTTGGTGGTAATAAGTATTGCGTATAAGTTTCATAACATTTGGTTGAGGCAAACTAAAGTTAGAGTGCGGAAATGACAAATTAAGCATTTTTTTTTATTTATAGAGGGACATAACTCGAGACACTGACTCAGTGGAGGCATAAAAATCTCTCAACATACATGTGTTAAACAGTAAACAATAGTCTCAAGCTCCTAACTCCCACAGCCCAAAGCAGTAGTAACAGAGATTATCAAAATTTAAATATATGCCATCATCACCAACTTACCCAAATGACAAAATGAATTATAATAAGACATGACAACAACTGATGGGTTCCTGACCCACAATATCCATTGACATACATGTATTGAGTTGATTTTATACCAGTATACTATACATGTAAATATCAAAACTATTTAGAAACCAGTCATGCAGTTGTATTGGATATTAATAATTTTTTACCCATGCTAACCTCGTTTGGACACCTCTACCTGGGTGACATATAATGTACATGTATATGAACATAACAATCATTAACTTAATGGTTATAGTCTGTGTAAAGGGAGATCATGCTTACCAATGTTTAAGCTTTTATTGTACAATAACAAAAAAACAACCCAACAACATGAACAACCCTGTGACCTTGACATTAACCTGACTTGACAATACACATGTTTACACAATAATTAACACTGTTTCTGATATATATAAATAAACTGTTAGTTTACATTTGTAACTAATAACAAATTTTATGATATTCATACATTTCTGTTGGTTCTTCATGAAAGAAAACAAAAAAGAATTGTAATTTACCCCCTAATGGAATCCAGTCAACCCATAAAACTTAAAAGTGAAAATGTAGGTTATGACCTGCATTGAGTAAAACAAATCAGGTCGTAAAGCATACAAACTGTTTTAGCTGAAATTTTCAGAGTAGTAATTATTCCATTGTACATTTGTATTTAAATTTGTGTTAATTATTCAAAAGTTTTATTGTTTATCAAATATCAACAGCAAAAAAAAAAAAAAAAATTCACATGTTTGCAACAAACTTGAGATTTTCATTGTCCATGAAATTATGCTTTTAAAAATACTGTATGAATAGCCTTACTTTATTAATGAATTAAAATTTGCAGTTCAGAAGTTCGTATAGTCATAATGCTGAGGAGGGACGACATAATGTATAGTTCTGATACAGTTGGGGTCTCTTATTTAAAAGTGTTTATACATGTGGTTGCTTCTGTCAATGTTACATTAATAATTAACATTTGTATGCACTTTGAAAAGAGAAGATTTTTTACCAGTTGCTCCTAAAAGGAGACACATAAAGAAGGATTCTTGGCTATTTTCTCTGAAGTTTGACACCTCTCTAAGTCATAATTGAGCAGTGTTGTAATGTCCCCGCCTACGCACATCCTTTATCTGTCCAAGGGAAATAATTCCAACAAAAATGCAAAGGTTTACATGTTTAAAGCATACCACAACTCATACTCAAAAAGTATCTGAAACAGGAAGTTTGTGTCTGGCAGATCCAAAAAGTGCTCATAAGTTACAACTCTTCACAGCCAAGAACCTGACCAAATATGAATCCATTATGTATAGTAGCACTGCAGAAATATGTGACGAAAAATTCATTCAACAATGAACATACTGAAAATTTCAAACTATTTATACAAATTTATAAATTTCATAAAAATCTGGCAAAAATTGCATGTGTTTCTATGTCATAACACAGGTTTGCTTCAGGAACAATTAATGAGATTATTATTAGTAAAATGTTTCCTGTCCATCAATGTGCTTGATTCCAATGTACAAAAACATACATAAGAATACAGGTGAAAGGTAAAGCAGACACAGTGACCTTATTATTTCTAGGATGCAGGGATACAGTTCATTGCAGTTTGCTCATTTACATTTTGTTTGTATATTCTATTCTATATGGTCAAATGAAATGAAGGTTCTTAAAGAATTATAGAATAAGTAATTTAGTTATAGAACATTTAAATGACTTCAGAAATCAGATATATACACATGTAGAATGTAGATAGGTTTTGATATAATGTATTTAAGAGTTCCCCTTGGCTGCCATTTAGGATGTGGAAATGGTTGATTTTCTTAATTTACTAACCAAATTGAAACATATGGTACAAACAAGTCTTTATAGGTAGTAGTTATGAAATAAATTAAAACTGTTCAGAAAACAACTTTTTCTAATAGCCTTTGAATTTGGCTGATTAATGAAGCAGTTTAAGCACGTAGCATACATACATGTACCTGCCACTTTTTGAAATGGAGGTTTTAGTGCCCAACCAGACTTTTAAGGGTTAACATTTTTGCATGCATTTTACTACATAAATATTGTCAGATCTCTTCTTTTTTCTTATGGTATACTGAAGATGAGCTACATTTGTACATGTCCATAAAAGTTTTGCTGTAGTAAGCCTTTTTCTTTTTATTTACATGATTCTTATACTTATTTTATTGTGTACATAAGATAGTGCATGGCAGATTTATTTGACTTTAATAGAGCTTTTAAAAGATGGGCAGATAAGAAAAATCACAGAATTTATATATTATACATGCATGTTTTAAAGTTTTAATGTGAGAATTTATATATTATACATGTATGTTTTAAAGTTTTAATGTGAGAATTTATATATTACATGTATGTTTTAAAGTTTTAATGTGAGAATTTATATATTATACATGCATGTTTTAAAGTTTTAATGTGACTACATGACTAGATCATTTTACTTAAAGCATCTTTTAAAACTTTTGTGATTTTAGAAGTCAACTACAATGATTTTATTGCCTTTGAAATGTAATTTTACTGTATCTATACAATCATTGTTAGTCTAATGTAGTGTTCATTTATTGAAAGAAAGATGTGGGGTAAATGTACATGAGACAACTATGCTGCAAATTGAATTTTATTTTGTTTGTAAAAAGGAAAATAAGTTGGCAAACAAATATTGTAACAGAAAGTGGCGAAAGTGGTGGTGAAAAAAAATATTGACCCAGGCCTAGGGGAAACTGTGGTGCATGCATGTAGCCACATTACCAGCAAAATCTTTTGTTCTGTAAGAATAAGTGACTGTTGACTTTTTCCATTTATAAATAATAAATATGGATGCTGAAGGACATTTACAAATGTATCTGACTCCTTGTAAAAAATGATTTCTAATACTTTTAATAATTTGATAAATTAATAACAACAATGTAAGGATCTGTTACCATGGTAATGGTGAGATAAGTTACTATTTAATATGTTAATGGTAACACTGAATATCAAATTATATCAAAGTAAGCACACTTCATTGACTAAGTCACTTGTATTATACTTGATTCTTATTTTAAAAGTCGGATATGACTCATAGCAATGAAAGTCACTTATGAACAATCCTTTTGTATTATCTGATAGATATATAATGGTTATATTCTCCCTATTTTGGATTACTGTTGTACAATTTGGGGAAACACCAGTGACCAAAATACAAATAGATTAGATAAACTTCAAAAACGAGCAGCTAGAATTATTCTTGAACTTCCTTATGATACCCCATCTAATACAATGTTTAAAAAGTTATCATGGCTTCGATTTACTGATCGTGTAATTTACCACAAGGCCTTATATGTTCATA